GTTTAGTAGCGGGTTCAGTGATGTGGTGCAGCTGCAGCAGTCTGTCTATCTCTCCCCAGTGCTGCAGTTTTGCTGCACACTGCAGAGACAGCCGAGACCTCCTTGCTGCTGCTTGTGAAACCTCATGAAGCGAATTCCATCGGTTTAACTCGCGGCAGCAGTCAATCCACATACGCTCCCTGCATCCAAACCCTAAACCCTAAACCCTAAACCCTAAACCCTAAACCCTAAACCCTAAACCCTAGCCTCTAAACCCTAGGGGTTAATAAATCTGAAATGCTTGTGCATATTGTGCAAGAACGTGGCTTTATAAAGGCAGTCGCATTCCCTAAGCGTCATTCTCTGATCGAGACGAAGTCCAAACCCTAAACCCTAAACCCTAAACCCTAAACCCTAAATTCTATATCTGCCTCTGCAACTCACCACCACGTTACCTCTTCTCGTCGCTCCTCAGTCTCCAATCGCATGCCCTGCGAAACCCGTCAAACCCCAAAGTGCTACAACAAAACCCTAAACCCTAAACCCTAACTAAACCCTAGACTCTAAACCCTAAACCCTAGACGCTGGGGTAGGCGATCTTGCACAGCTGCATCTCTACAGCAGTAGTGTACTTTGGTGTGTTTAGGTTTGAGACTGAGTTGAGAGGGTTTGTGTTTGTGCTCGTGAGGGTTTATGGGGATGAGGGTTTAGGGTTTGTAGCTTGCCTGAGCCTGCAAAGCCTTTAAGTTTGAAACAATAACATTCTTTGCTGCCCCGTAGTGGCTGTGCTGCATCAGAGAAAGAGCAGCAACAGTAGGAAGGCATTGAGCTCTTGTATTAATAACGCCTGTACGATAGTCTGTCTCTTCAAGGTGTGCATACACCTCAGCTAAATGCTGCACGCATACATACACACAACAAACCCTAAACCCTAAACCCTAAACCCTAAACCCTCAAGATGCTTTCTGCTGCACCAAACGACAGCAACAAGCAAAGCAAGCAGCAAATGATAAACAAGAATAACAAACACCAGCAGCAGCAACAACAGCAGCAACAATGTAAACCCTCATAAACAAATATCAGCGCTAGCAAACAAAACCCTAATAAGCCTGCTACCACAAACCCTAGCAGCAAAACAACGAGTGCTGCAGCAGCTTACAGCAGCAGCCTTCCTTGCCAGACTGGAGTATTGCTGCTGCTGCTTCTTGTGCATCGCCACAAGTGCTGCGTTCTCTGGGGTCTGTCCCTCAGCAGCAGCAGCAGCTGCTGCTGCTGCTGTTGCTGCTGCTGCTGGGTCGCGCTCCGGCTCGATGTCGCCGTCAAAGAAACGGTACTTCCGCAGGCCGAAGTCCACAAGGGAGTCTTCCTCTTGCTGCTGCTGCTGCTGTTGCTGCTGTTGCTGCTGCTGCTGTGGTTGCTGCTGATGCTGCTGTTGCTGTTGCTGCTGCTGGGGTTGGTTCTGCTGCGCTGGTGCAGCAACGGCAGCAGCAGCTGCTGCTGCATCCGCGGATGCTGTGACGGCATGCAAGTAGCTGTGCTGCAGCAGCTGCAAGCACTCCCTGCTGCAGTTACACTGCAGCGCTAAGTGCTGCAGCACGTCTACTGGCAGCAGCGGGAGAGGGTCTAGCTGCAGCAGCGCCTCGAGGAACGGCTGCAGCACACGGCTCTTGCTGCTGCTGCTGCTGCTGCTCATGCTGCTGCCACGCTGCAGCATCTGCTGCTGCTGCTTCGACTGCGAATCCCCACCTGACATGCCGTCGTCACTGCTGCACGAACAAACGCAAACCCTAAACCCTAAACCCTAAACCCTAAACCCTCGTTCGCATGAACAACAAACCGAAACCGCCAACTGACTCGCCACTCCCTGAAAAGGTCCAAGGGTTTAGCATTGCTGATCTAGGGTTTAGGGTTTAGGGTTTCTCGTGAGGGGTTCAGGCTTTGTACGTGTCCGTCTGTATATATCTGGTAGCTTAGGGTTTAGGGTTAATATCAATCTATGCGCATTCGTCTTAGGGTTTAGGGTTTAATATACCCGTCAGTGTGTATATGTTTTAGAGTTTAGGGTTTAATATACCCGTCAGTGTGTATATGTTTTAGGGTTTAGGGTTTAGGGTTTAGGGTTTACTATACCCGTCAGTTTGTATTTGTCTGGATAAGAAGAGCGCTACAGCTTCAGCGATGTTAGCGCGTTGTGCGTCTGAGGCTGCAGCCCAAGCGGCTTTGAGTGCAGCAGCAAGAAGATATTCAACGAGGGGTATAGAGAAGAAAGATACAACTTCAAGCCCGCTGAAGAAGCTCTCTCCATCTTGCAGCCGACATAACTGCTGCTGCTGTTGCTGCTGCTGCTGCTGCTGCTGTTGATTAGGAGGTAGCAGCTGCTGCATGCAGAAGGACGCGTGCTGCTGCAGCGCAGATTCTAAAGATTGCTGCCACTCTTTAAATCCGGGAAGCTGCTGTGAACGCTGCAGCTGTAGATACACCTCAACGCTGCTAGATCCGTCAAACTGCTGCTGCTGCTGTTGCTGCTGTTGCTGCTGCTGCGGTGGCTGCTGCTGCTTCAGCTGGGGAGACGCACTGGCCGAGTAGGCAGCGATGCCACGAGCCACCAGCGGGGGTACTGCAGCAGCATCATCATCATCAGCGTCTTCACTTTGCTGCTGCTGCTGCTGCTGCAGTATATGGTGCAGCACGCTAACCTCGCATACGCTGTTGACGGTAGGGCTCTGCTGCAGCTCCGGCAGCAGCGGCGGCAGCAGCGCAGCAGCAGCATCCCTCAGCAGCTGACGGGGGGGCAAGGCTGGCTGCGACAGCAACTCAATGTTGCTTAAACTGCTGCTGCTGCTGCTGCTGCTGCTGTTGCTGTTCAGCAGCATGAGCGACACAATGGTGTGCAGCACGTTGCGGGAGGAGAGAACACCCCAGTGAGGCATCAGCAGCAGCAGCTGCAGCCGCTCTACACACCCCATTGGCCGCCACGGCAGCTGCTGCTGCTGCAGATACACCCGGTGCTGCTGCACCAGCTGTATATCCAGCAGCACAAGAGCAGCCCGACGCACCCCAGCCACTGAAGACTGAGTAGCCTGCAGCAGCGCATGCAGCAGCGGGACTGGCAGCAGCTGCGACTCATCTGCTGCACCAGGTGGGGCCTCTGCTGCAGCACCTGCACTGTGCGGTGCAGCAGCAGCAGCAGCGCTTCCTGCAGCTGCACCAGGAGCAGCAGCAGAATTTGCTGCTGCCTCGGAAGAGGACTGTTCATTCTTGACTTGCTGCTGCAGCGGAGCCGCAGCAGCTGCTGCAGGAGCAGCAGGAAGAGCAGCAGCTGCTGTAGCAGCAATGTGGGTACGCTGTAAGAAGTCTGAAGCTCTAGGAGGAGGAGCAGCAGCAAACACCACAGCAAGCCACTGCAGCAGCAGTATAACTTCGGAGTTGCGGTGCGACGCGAGAGGTGCAAGGGCCCCGAGCAGCAGCTGCAGCTCCTCAACACTAAACAAACCCCTGCTGCTGCTGCTGCTGCTGGTTTGCATGCAGCAGCAGTCGCTGCTATGCACGCCATCCATCTGCATGCCGTCATCCTTGTTGCTGCTGCTGCTGCAGCAGCAGCTTTCGGTATCTGCATCATAGACTCCCATGTCTCTTAAGCTCCTGTAGAGGGTAGGAAGGCGCCGCAGCTGCTGTTTCTTTAGCTGCTGCTGCAGCGGCGGTGCTGCTGCAGCAAGCGTACACCACAGGTCCTCCTCCCACTTGTGGAGCTGCTGCAGCTGCTGCTGCTGCTGCTGCTGCTGCTCTTCGGAGGAGGGTTCATCTGCTGCAGCAAAAGCAACGCCATACAAGTCCTGCTCAGCAGCAGCTCGCGCCTCTTCATTGTCTAGAGAGGCTTCCTCTGCTGTTGATGCTTCAGCGTCGCTGCTGCTGCTGCTGCTGCTGCTGCCGCTGAGGCGTCGCTTCGTGCGCACTTGCTCTTCCTGCTGCAAGGCTGCTGCAGCAGCACGAGCAGCAGCTGCTGCTTCTCCCTCTAGTGCTTCTAATTCCTCCCTACCGCCGTTGCTGCTGCTCCTGCTGCTGCTGCTTCTGGTGCTTCGCTTTATTTCGACTCGCAGCAGCTGCATCTCCTCTAGCTGCAGCAGATCTCGCTGGTGCTGCTGCTGCTGCGCTGCATAGCTGCTGCCTCTGCATGCACTCCAGCTGGCCCCCGGAACTGCTGCTAGGTTAGCAACTGCTGCAGCAGCAGCAGCACGCCTTCTGCAACAGCGACATCCACGCTGCTGCTGCTGCAGCAGCTGTTGCTGCTGCTGCTGCGGCTGAGTAAAGAAGGGGCCCAATGCCAGTCTTGCTGCAGTGTTTAGACACCCCAAAGCCAGCGGGTGCAGCGGGGAGCAGCAAGCAGCAAATGCTCGGTGTAGCGACTGCAGCAAGGAAGCCTTTTCTGCTGCTGCATTTAAGGGGGCAGCAGCAGCAGCAGCTGCTGCTGCCGTCGCAGAGGCGTCGCCTGTTGCTGCTGCAGCAGCAGCAGCCGCTGCTGCTGCTGCTGCTGAACCCCGCGAACCCAAGATCAAATGAGAGGAAGTTGATAGCAGCGTAGAAAGCAACAAAAAGCAGCGCACCAACGCCGTTTCCTCTGAACACAAACCCTAAACCCTAAACCCTAAACCCTAAACCCTAAACCGTAGACAGATGGAGATGAAAACATATCAGTGTCAGGGAAGGAGTTACCCAGCGACCCAACCCTAAACCCCAAACCCTAAACCCTAAACCCTGAGAGCTAAACCCTAAACCCGCAGCTCTAGTAAACCCTCCCCCTTCCTTCATTCGACAGTACGGTTAGGGTTTAGGGTTTAGGGTTTGCGCACGGAGTTGAGCATCAGAAACAGAAGGACGTCGATGAGAAATTGTTGCTGCAACTCCCCTGGCAATATCTGCTGTGGCTTCGTGCAGCAGGGGAAACAGCAGCCGGAGGTGTACGTACACCTCATCCTTCTGCTGCTGCTGCTGCTTCTCTCGCTGCTTCCGGTTGCTGCTGCTGC